GAAGGAAGGTTGGGCAATCTACTTCCGTAGTGATACTGCCTCGGAAACCCAAGGAGGGGTCGCTATGAGTCGGGTCCAACTCGACAGCACATAACAACAATAAATACTTGTTAATCTTGACTGGACTCATTTTGTTGTTATGGGCTGTCGAGTCATCTCTGACTCATGGCGACCTTATGTATAACAGAACGAAACTCTGTCCGATCCTATGCCAGCTTCATTATCCCTACTATACCTGGTCCCTTCGCTGCAGCCACCATGTCTATCCTTCTCATCGAGGGCTTTCCCCTCTTTCGTTGACATTCCACTTTACCAAGCATGACATCCTTCTCCAGAGAATGGTCCTTTCTGACAACATGACCAAAGTAATTGAGACAATGTCTGGCCATTCTCACTTCCAAGGAGCATTCTGGCTGCACGTTGTCCAGGACAGATTTGTTAGACCTTTTAGCAGTCCATGGTACTCTCAGCATTCTTTGCTAACACTACAACTCAAAAGCATTAATTATTCTTTGATCTTCCTTATTCATTGTCTAGCTCTCACATGTGCATGAGGCAATTGAAAATACCATGGCTTGGGTTAGGTGCATCCTAGTGTTCAAGGAGATATCTTTGCTCTTCCATACTTGAAAGAGGTCTTTTGCAGCAGATTTGCCCAATGCAATACATCTTTTGATGTCTTGACTGCTGCTTTCATTGGCATTGATTGTCGAACCAAGTAATATGAAGTCTTTGACTATTTCAATCTTTTCTCCATCTACCATGATGCTGCTTACTGGTCCAAGACTGGACTTATAGTGATCCTAGAAAACAAAGCAGAGCTGTCTCACAGAGTTTCCAAGGCTGTAAATCTATACAGAAGCTGATTGCCACATCTTTCTTGCATGGAGCAGCAGGAAGTTTCAAGCTGCTAACTTTCAGTTAACCACTAAGCACTTAACCACAGCATCAGTAGCGCTCTTTGCACCTTACATATAACAATGAAATATTGCTTGGTCCTATGCATTCTTTATGATCATTGGTATGTTTGAGTCCATTGTTATAGCAGTTCTGTCAATCCATCTTATTGAGGACTTCCTTTGTTTCCACTTGTCCTCTGCTTTACCAAATATGATGTCTTTTCCTAGCTAAACATGTATTATTTGAGAGCCACTATTGGCAATTATTAGGAGCTCTGGTAGCATACTGCCTAAGGTGCTTGACTGCTAACCAGAAGGCTGGCAGTTCAAACCCATCAGCCACTCCTCAGAAGAAAGTTGGGGCAATCCACTTCCGTAGTGATACTGCCTCGGAAACCCAAGGAGGGGTCGCTATGAGTCAGGGCTGACTCAATGGCACATAACAACAATATTGTTGCTATAATAGTTCACTACAAACTTGATAGCTTAAAATTATATGAATTTATTATCATATAATTATGGAGATGAAAAGTATGAAACGAATATCACCAGCCTAAAATTGAGATGGATGTTGCTAGAGCTGCTTTCCTTCTGGAGACTCAAAGGGAGAATCTGTTTCTTTGCCTTTTCCAGCTTCTAGATGCTGTTCACATTGTTTGTCTCATGGTCCACTTCCGTCTTCAAAGATAGCAATGGCCATTCAAGTCTTTCTCATGCTTCCACTTTGTAAGGAACATTCTGATTACATTGTATTCTCCTGGATAATCACCTCCTCCCAAGAACCTTGACTTAATCACTTCTGAAAGGTCCTTCTTTCCACAAAAAGGCCCATATTCAGTTTCCAAGGGTTAGGACTTGCATATATTTGGAGGCCATTATTCTGCCTATATAGGCATTCCATAGTATAAAGAATAGTTAAAAATCCAAATATTTAGGAATATAAGAATGTTAAAGAGTGTATACTAGTGAGCATATATCCCCCAAATATATCCCCTAAAAAAGTGAACAAGACATGTCATTCTCAAATTTCAAAAGATATACATTATTGAGCAGAGCTCCAATAACCAGGAAAAGCCCTTAAGAATCTGTTTTCTATAGGTTGGAGATCTGGTTATTACTATTGATGTAGACTCCTGATTTCATTGGGGATACCTGTACCTTAAGATTACAGGCCCTAACATTTGCACTGAAAACTAGGTTCATGTGGTCAAAGCTATACAGAAAATCAAGTCTGAGTATAGTCGTGTAAGTGGATAATATAGAATGTGGAATGTGGAAATTATTATAAGATACCTAAGACTGACATATATGGACTTCTCATTAAGGCTTTAATTAGCATGTATAATAATAATAATAACAAACCTCTAGTTCTATTATCAGAATGCTAGCTTGAGTCTTTACTTCAGATCTAATCAGGTTTATGGGCCCCCAGTCCCTTCACAAATTGGGAAGCCAGGTAAGCTGGAGGAATACATAGCACCACGATTATATGTTATAGATCCACTTACTTTTACTTTCATCCTCAGAATGATGCAGCCTTTTGTCACACAGCTATATACTGGAGAAAAGAATGTCCACAAGGTTTTGGTCTAGTAGGATACATAACCAGGTGTAACACTAATTCTTAATGACCAAATATTTCACTGTGCTAAACTTTTAGAAGATTTCTGAGAGTCATATTATAATTACCCTTCCTGATGGATCCAGTTGAATTGAAAACACAAATTTCTGAGATAATTTGCCATAATTCTTTTGGAGTTGGAAGCTAAATGTGCATCAACATGCAGAATCTCTGTATTGATTTCCTGACTAGGGAAGTGAAGATGAAGACAGTTAATTGAACCAAGACTTAGATCATGGAAAACCACTTTTAGCTAGAGTTCCACTCCTACAAAAATCAAAAGCAATCATACCTGTCTGAGAATAGTGCCAACACCAGTGACTCATTGATTCATACTACATTTACATTTCACACTCAAGTTTCCCTAGGTCAGATCTAGGAAAGAATTTGAATAATTGCAAGGTATGTTTGAACATTTACTTTTTAATTCCATTTGTAGTTGCTGTTCCAGAAGATGTGGACTCATTTCTGGAACAAATCACAGTAGGCCCAGGCAGCTGGTATATAACAATTGATTTATATATAATTGTATATTAAAAAAATGCAATTTCCCTTAGTCCAATTAGCAGAAAACATTTAGAAGCACTTTACTTTCATTTATAAAGTAAATGAAACATAATCCATGAGGTAGATGTATTTGGATCAGTATCAAAGAACATCATTTATGTATGCTGCTATGAATGTTAAAGAAATTGTATTTGAATTCCAGAACACTATTTATTGTGTGAAAAGAGAATTGTTGGCAGAATATTTCCTGATATTGATGAAATATTGGAAGAATTGAGAATTGAGAATAGAAAGAATTTCTCTTTCTAACCTTAGAGGTCCATCAATTTTATCACTTTATGCCATGATGTTGTCTACAGGAATCATCATCTCTAAGACATCCTACTGGGCTAGAACATTAATAGAATCTTACTGATAAGCATAGTGGTAGTTAAAACAAAAACTGTATTCATTGGTATGACATATATATGTCAGAGAGTAGAAAAAGTGAATCCCAAGGTACACAGGAGCTTGTTAAAGTGTCTGAATGTAGTGATCTGAGGTGTTTAAAATTATTCCATAACAAGTGAAGGGTGAAATGCTGTACCTTTATCCCTGTACTATATTAAGAAAAGAGGCTGGAGATTTTGGACCTCTTTAAATTTTGAAGAAAATGTGTGTCTGATATGCTAGTGTTGTTCTGAACATTCATTCTGCAAACTCAAATATGAAAAGTACAAAATTTGATGCAGGCTGAAGTGCAAGGAAATCTGACAACTAATCCTATAACTCAGTGGTTTCAGTGGTGTTCAGAATGTTTGTAGCTGACCAGGATGCATGGAACCTATAAGAATTTTCAATACAAGAATTATAGATGTTGCTCATTCCTATATAATTATAAAGGATTTTTCAGCTCAAAAAATAAAAAAAAAAAAAGAATAAAAGAATCACCAGTTATTTTCCAGGTGAATCTTCTATATTCATATATTTAATAATTCTAAAATTAATTTAGATTATAGTATAATGTATATTAGGGGCTCTGGCATGTAGTGCCTAATGCATTTGACTGCTAACTAGAAGGCTGGCAGTTCAAACACACTGGCTACTCCTCAGAAGGTAGGTTGGGCAATCTACTTCCATAGTGATATGCCTCAGAAACCCAACGAGGGGTTGCTGTGAGTCAGATCCAACTTGACAGCAGTAAGTTTTTCCTTTTTTTTTTTATAATATATATTATTTACAAGTGAAACTATTCCTGAATGATTTGAAATGCCAGCTCCATATAAACTATATATCTTATAAAATCTCTTCATTTATCAAACTATCAATCAATCTATCTATGTACATCTATCATCTATCTATTCATTCATCAAAATGTATGTGTGTGACCATTCTTTTAGACTTATAAATTCTAAGTATGTTTCTGATATAGTTTTTCTTTTTTGTAGTATATGATACTTCTTTCATTTATTCATTGAACCAAAACTCTATTTGAAACATCTATTGGGGTTTATGAAATTCCAAATTACAAGTTACCATAAAAGACAAAGAAAACATAAAAACTCTGCCCTCCTGGAACTGACAGTAGTATAAATAAGGCAAAAGTAAATAACATAAAGAAGTAAAAAGTTGACACTTCAGGCTGTGGTGTTATGGAAGAAATCTTAAAAAGAGAATAAAGATGGGAGGGTTCTGAAGAGAGCAATTTAAAATAGAGTTGTCAGGAAAGACCTCTGTGAGAAAGGAGCATTTGATCCAAGACACAAATCAAGTAGAGAGGCCAGACACTTGGACAGAAAATTGTAGAAGTAGCTGCAGTAGAGGGCCCTTGTGGCACATATTATTTTACACTCAAATACTAACCTAAAGGTTGTCAGTTCAAATCTATGAGCTTCACTGCAGAAGAAAGTCCTTGTTATCTGCTTCCAAAAAAATTACAGCTCTGAAAACACTAGGTATGATGTGGTCTAAAAACCCACTGCCGTCAAATTAGGTCTGATTCACAGCGACCTCTCCTTGGGTTTCTGAGGCGATATCACTACAGAAGTAGAATCCTCAACCTTTCTTCTGGGGAGTGGCTGGTGGGTTTGAACCACCAGCCATCTGGTTATCAGTCAGATGCCTTAGGCACTACACCATCAGAGCTTCCATGATGTGATCTACTCTGTAACATATGGGGAGCCCATGTGTCAGAATCTAATTTAACAGCAACAAATTCAATGTCAAGAGGTTTGGTTTAGTTATGGTTAACTGCAGTAGAGAAGTATATGCCAAATGTGCCAATATGACTGGCATAT